AGTTGCCTTTTCTTCATGTAAACTAATCTGCTTTGTCTGCATGCTTAGTCTATCTCTAAATGCCTGTTCTGTTTATTGCTTTTTTTTTTTTTTTTTTTTTTTAAAACCTCTTAATCTTCCCTTCTCCGTCACATGTAATCTTATCGCATACTGTATTTTGTCAGGTGAAATGTCACTACATACATACATACTATAGAGTTCATCTGTTTCCTAGGATGTGCATTATGTCTGCAAGTGTTATAATACTTCTGAGATTCACAATAATGAAAATAATAATTGAAAATTTCTTAATTAACTGTTGTTTTTATATTTAAGATAAAATTAGTTACTACAGTAAAAAGAATCCGTGCACTGTATATTAGTTTTTTGTGGAGCATTCAGCATGAATAGGTACTATCTTTTGGATTATTTTAGAGAATCTTATTACTTTATTCTGTATAATGAATTTATTGAAAAATGACAAAAGAATGATAAAGATCTGTAAAATTGTATTTATTATGTTAATTGACTTATACAAGATGTTGTCTTCATGGACTGAAAAAATGAAAACAGTTGATTAGTCTGAAACTGGAGAGGTATGTTTTGCTGTTTGTGCCTCTTTCTTTGGTCTTAATTTACAAATCCTAGAAATAAGAATTTTCAGTAAGAATAACTTTTGCCAAAGGTGATTATTTGCATAAAAGTAGCATTTTAAAATATAGTGGTAAAGCTATTAAATTTAACATTTGTGTAGAGGGGGCAAAGAGTCCTAAAGCTAAATCTCCAATTTACTGTATAAATTGTAAAATTAATTGACAGTCCACGTCAGTCTGAAATGTCCTTCCTCTAGCTAGTAAAAGTTGATTTATTTAATTTATATTGGCAATTGTATATATTCACTCCTTATACATTAAGGTTACTAATCAAAACTTATTCTATGTTCTGACCTCAGTTTTGTATTCTTCTACCACAAAAATGGAAAATAGAAATGTCAAAAATATATTTTTATAATTTAATTGATTTCGTGGTGGTAGAAACAATCACTTAGAAATAAAACCTAAGCAATTAATGTGCTTTGTTCTGAAAAAGTCCCATAATATGAAGCTAAAAAAACAATAGTTTGGTGTGAAATTTTCCCATCATAATGGTAAGAGGCAACAGAGAATTGATTCAAAAACCACCCAGAAGATAAAACAACTTTAGAAACTGTTAACATTGTGGGGAGAGAGATTGAATAGCATAAATGAAATTAAGATTTATAAATTCTACCTTGGATGTTAAAACAAAATGTCATATTGAAGATAGAAGGCTGCTTAGAAGTAGCATTGTTGGGTTAATTAGCTACCAGGCAGAAGAGATCATAACCTTACAAAGGGTCAAAGCATGTTAAAACTGGAAGTATGGAGAGCTGTTACTCTGTCTGAATCCCATATGGAAGCCCACTGTCCTTAACATCATATCTAAGAGCTAGAGGATGGTAGGCTCTTTACCTTGGATAACTTCATTCCATTATTTCCATATAGTTATATGCACTTTTTAAAAATGTCATTCTGCTAATATATTTGCATGTACCCATTACACTACATGTCTCTTTTATTCCTTTAATGTGGGTGGTATTACAAATTTTAATAAAAGGACCAGTATGTGTTGTAGATAGGGTTGTGTCTTTCATTCTGCATAGGAAACACAGCATATTTCTTTGACATGATAGTTTTGACCCAATCACCCATTTAGGAAGTTGACAGTAAATGGTTGAATTTGTTGTATAGTTTGCCTGTTTTGTTTTTTTTAAAGTATTTATTTTGACTTCTGACTCAAATTATGTAGCATGGAAAAAATATGTATGTTCTCTCTCTATTTCTCAAACTACCCTTCATTTTGATTTCCATAAGTCTGAGCCAACGTCTATTAAGTCAAAGTAGAGACACTATTGATATAAATAGGCTTTGGACCAGTCCTGAAAATCTGTGACTTTCATTAGTTTTACATTTTCCTTACAAATGTTCTATTCATCCGTGACAAAATCTTAAATGCTCAAAAATAGTAGCTTGCTGATTTGGCTTTTTATGGTACTATACCTCATTGTTACCATCCTGGAGTATGATGGCTTTGATTAAAGCTTGCTCATTTTTGTTAGTTATTCATGTCTTGTCTACTTTTTTTTTTATTTCTTTGTTGCATGAAGTTGACTTGACTAATCAATTTGTAATCTAATGTATAAATATTGGAGTTTTATTGAAGCCAGAGACAATTTGCCAGTTTTTTAGTGTGTAAACACTATATACGTACCTATTCTTAATATTGTTATTAGTCAACAAGCTAGGATTCAAAGCCTGAACAGCTCAAATGTAGAATTCTCTGCATTTAAGGAATATGTTTACAATCACTGTATAATGTTTGTAGATTATTTTCCTTTAAAAATCATATACAGCCTCGGGAACTCTTCTTTCCAGCATGCAATCTAGCAAATAATCACTTGATGCCTTTTGTCACTAAACTTTGTCCACCCTAGAGCAAAAATCCCTGTTTTATGCCAACATAGGTTAATGAAAGTTATAGTTGAAATAACATCTGTCAAGAATGCAGATCATTAGTAAGTACACTTAAAATGAATCCTAATAGGTTGTAATCCATCTGGAAAAAATCCCAAATGTTACATTCAGAAGGTAATTGGGAAATTATTTTTTTGTTGTTTTGTTTTGTTTTTGTTTTTGTTTTTTTATCAATCAGTATTTCCCTTTGGGAAAAATAAGAATAGTTCACCCTTCTTAATCTATCCTGATTAACAGAGATTAAATGTAAGGTTGAAAGATGTAATTATCTTGGTAGTATCTAGCTTCTGATATGCTTATGTCGCTTCATTAGTGAAATAAATAGTTTTGTTTTTTTTTAAATAAATGAAGGTAAAGGTTAAAGTTTCCAGTGGTGTTTTTTCCGTGGCTTTATATCAGAGTGGTAAACAACCAATTTAAACGACATTTGTGAACACTATGACTCAATTTTTTTTAAATTATGATTTTAGATCTACCAGCTAAAATAAATATGATAAACTGAGCTGTTTTATTACATTCCATTTAAAGGGTAAAGTTGTCTAAAAGTCTAGCTAACAACTCTACATTATTGAACCATTTAAGTATGTCAAACATAGAGAATTGCTTCTTGTGAGTATTTGCCATCTCTCACCCATATTACCTACTAGCAAGTCAAAACAATAGAAGCAATCTCCGCTCATATTTTAGAACATAAACAAAAGAATTACAATTTTGTTTTGTATTTTGTTCTCCATGCAAAAGGAGAACAGGAAGATATTCTCTAAAAGTCTTGGGTGAATTGTTCTTGTTGCACTTGGCAAAGTGCATATGACTCTGGTTGAAAGAAAGGTGAGAGTTCAGTACATTCATTATATCTCTAGTCTCTCTCAAATTAGCACTCACTAAAATATAGAGTGGTGGTAGGTGTACAGAATTATATTTTTCACATTAAAATATTTAAGATCTGTGTCTTAATGAATTACATTGAATGGTAGCAGAAGTTTTCTCTTATTGAAATGTAGCATCGTGCTTTGTTAGTAAATGAATGAGCAAGGGTTCCATTTCAGGAGGGTACGGGGGGCAGAGACAGACTATTATAAAGTGATATTTTTGCACTTGTTAAGAACATGTATTTTACTCATGTTTTGCCTTGATGGTTTACGTTAAATTTTGTTACACATTTATGCTGAGAACTAATACTTTAGAACAAAAATATTGTTGCATTGATTGAAATCATTTTAAACATGTCTGGTTTGGAGTTTCACTCAAAACTGAGCCCAGGTTTTTTGGTAACATCCATGAACCTAATTTATTTAAAGATTCGCATTGAAACCATGCTCTTGGCTTTGACATCAAAGCTAGCGAAACTTGGCAATTTCAGCTGATTTCGTGTTTAAACTTTTGGGCTCATTTAAACCCAAAGCTCAAAGGGAAATTCTGGGAGATACGCATTCACAATATAGCAAGCCAAATGAAAGATTATCAGAACCTCTAGAAAATTGAAACAATAGACTTTCACACAATTTAAGTATAATCATCCTATAAAAATACTCCTATTTTACACCATCATTTTTCTCCCAGTTAAAGCTGGTGAGAAGATTGAAACTGACACAGACAATTGACCTTGTTAAAGTGCTTTCTTTATTTGATTTATCACCTGTTAGTGGCAGTTTATATTAGATATGTTGTGGGTATTCCCCAAAAGATACCATCTGTGCCTCTTACTATAGAGTCACTAAAGTACTCTGCGTGTAAGTATTTACGCACCAAAATTCTATATTAAATGACTTAGTGAGTGAGTGAGTTTTCATGGGATTCTGTCCTATTGCCACTGAAGTTAATGACAAAATACTTTTTTAACTCAGTGGAAGCAGAACTAGATCATAGTCTTTAATAATTGTATCAGTTCATTTCAGTACCACCTAGATTGCTCCTTGATGTGTGTTTGTTTTTGTGTCTTTATTTATAGTTAAAAAGCAAAAGAATAATTGTTCAATTAAATAGTGTAACTGATTTGAATACCTGGGGAAGCGAACCAACTCTCTGCAATACAGTAGTCTGATAATGCAGATGGATTAAATGACTCTCCATGAGTCCAACAAACAATTTTCGTTCCGTGTGTAAATTAGTTTTTTGGTTGCATAAATTCCCTGAAATGCTAACCATTTGTCTCAAAAGCCTAGATCAGTGAACAGAAAATTAATATGTGGTACTGGACTCTTGAATACTTTGGGGACTATCTGAGGTCACAAGTGTTATGAGTTCTGCTATTTCCATATATTTCTGAAAGACCCAAAGATACCATCACATATCTAACATCTCTAAAGAGAACTACCTTCACTTGAAAAAAAGTCACCATAGAATAGACATTGAGCAATCTCAAAATGTACTAAGAAGTGTTGTGTTGTAGAGCTATGTTAATAATATCCTAAAACATTTGTTGTGTAATTATCTAATTTACTCTTCTTCGTTGTCTCCTATTTGAAATAGCTCCAGTGGCTCTTAGACAACTATGAAACAGCAGAAGGAGTGAGTCTCCCCAGAAGTACCCTTTACAATCATTACTTACGACACTGTCAGGAGCACAAGTTGGATCCAGTTAATGCTGCCTCCTTTGGAAAACTCATAAGGTCGATTTTCATGGGGCTACGGACCAGGAGACTAGGAACCAGGTTTGTGTCAAAGAATGAAATCTTTGATTATAACATAGACACAGTGTAGTGACCTCTGTGATAACGAACCTAGTACATGAAACACTAAACAAGCTGAAAAAAACATTACTTAAATGTTAAAATGTTTGTTCTGTCAGTTTCTCGTGTAATGTCAAACTGTGCCAAGTTACAGACCATTACATTTCTTCTTGTCCTGGAGTCACTTGTTAATTTTGAAACATACACAACAGATGTATAGCAATACAAATTTAATATAAGCTGTTGGTTGGAAAACAATGCAGTCAGATGGAGAATAATTACTATATTTCCTATGAGGTTAAAAATCTAGTTATATTTTGGGTTTTTTATTATTTTTATACAATACTTTAAGTATATTCTGAGCACAAAGTGATGATTGATCATTTACATGTTAGATTATGCCAGTGTTCTGCCTTTTCAGATAAAAATAAATGAGAGATTTAAGCTAAATATTTTTATTAACTGTTTTGTTTTTTGGTGTTTGTAAGGGACTGTTATTTAATGCTGCCATGATTCTACAGCTTAATTACAAATAGTTTTAATTCCTTATTTATAAATTACTGTTACTGTTTTTATTTCATGCGGTGGTATTTCAGTGTAATATGATAACTAAATATGAGGGACAGTAAGTGTAAAAATAGAGGAGTTATTTATTCTGTATTTACCTAGTGTAGTGGGCTACTGTTCAAGCTTCATAGCAGATTCCATTCACTCGTTTACAGATTTTCCAAACACTTACCTCTTGAGCTAAAATGTTCCATGCTTTGTTCTATCTGAAGGAAAAATATTTATGATTAGTTTTTCGTAAATGTGAGTTTAAACTTTTTTGCCATTTTAAGTTACAAAAGAGTAAGGAAACAATGATTCTTACTCTCCGTTTTTGTTGTTGTTATTGTTTTAAACAAGCCTATAACAAAATTGGTGAGTTTTGACATTTGCAATGTGTCTGTTATTTTTTTTGAAAAAATAAATAGTTTTGATTTAACCAATGAAGGAGAGTTTGGAAATAGTGTATTGAACAAGCCCAATAAACAATGTGTTTAAATCTTTTAAGTATAAACAGATGCATGCTTACAATAATTGTGCTATACAATTTGTTCAAGAACTATAAACATCTTACTGGAAAGTTCCACAAAGCTGAATAGTTCAATTTTTTTTTCATTTTTTGTTTCCTTGTTCAGTCCCTCCAGATATCAGTACTGCAGCAGCATGTTTTCAATGGTGTCAAAGGCTGCTGACAGAGTTAATAAAACTTTCACATACACCTGACCTTTTTTCCGTGTTACTAAAAGTATTTTGTCAATCAAATATTTTCTATGCCATACCCAACCTTAAAATAAAACTGCAAATAATCTGGGAAATTAAAAAGACCATATATCCCCACAGCCTTTTAATAATCTTCAATCTTCTCCACTATTAAGAGGGTTCAAGATAATGTAGTAATTGGCACTGATGTCAGATGGCAGTTTCTTAAGCAATTTACTTAAGGATGGCTAGATTTAGCCATGAGGAGCTTGGCCCATTTTGCTTGCTGCACTCTACATCTTCCCAACACATCCATTTGTTTACCTGTGGGCAAAATATGGCCCACAAGCTGTATCCAACCTGCCAAACCTTCGGATCTGTCCCGCCACAGTAGTCTGGGTTGCTAATATCTTGCCTGCCATGCCCCCATGCTCAAAATGGCAGTTGCTGGGGCCAGCTTGTGCATCTCTGTGCAACACGCGCCATGGGTCTGTGCAACACGCGCCATGGGAGAAGGAGGGCTCCACATGCTGCCTTGCCCCCAGCACAATCCTTGCAACCAATGGGAGCTGCCTGAGCCATGCTTGCATGTGCAAGCGGCTGGCAGAACCCCCTTTTTCTATGGTACATGCTGTGCAGAGAGACATGCTGGCTCTAGCAGCGGGCCACTTTGAAAGACATGTTGGGCCATGGCAGATTATGAACCTGTCTGAGGGCCCTGCTGGCTGGGAGCCTTAGAGTAAGCACCTCCCGGCCAGAGCTTGTACCTGGCACCCCAGCTATTCATGCACCTTAGCTTCTTGCCACAGATCACATCCTCCTCCTGCTCAAATCCCCATGCCCTAGTTCATAATCCTCTCCTTCACCCAAACTCTCTCCCAGACCCCCTCTCCCATCCCAGTCTCCTACCCGGAGCTCCCTTCTGCACCCAATCCCCATCCCAGATCTTGCACCTCCATTAATATTATAGAAGAGCAAGCACTTACCAAATTCTTGGAGTGTCCCCTCCTCATAAAAAATTATTGCCCATGCCTGCATTTATCTCATATTTTACTACGGGTCCAGTGGAAGCCTCTGACTGGTGCACTATTGTCACTTTTATCTCTAAAATATAGTTGGTAAACTCCTTGTACCCGAGATGAGCTCAAACATTTCCTGAGAGAGACTGTTTGAATTACTGCTGCACAGTTTGTCTGGTCTTAACTATGTTGGTCCAGTCGCAGGGAGTTTCTTAACTCTAGCCACAGTCACAAGAGCGATGACTACTGTCTGCTGCATCAGAAGGAGCTCTCTCCCTCTGTGCTCTAGAGCAGTGGTTCTCAAACTTTTTGGGCTCCGGAGCTCTTTACATGCGTAAAAATTTATGCAGAGCCCCAGCGGTCCACTGGTTGTATGTGTTGTACCTCTCGATGTTTCCAGTTTGTCAACCTCTCGGAGCCCCTGGAGATATCTCGTGGAGCCCTGGGGCTCCATGGAGCACAGTTTGAGAAACACTAGCCTAGAGTCTACCATTACTGTTTTGTAGGACACACATGGTAGTTGGACAGGGTAAAAGAAGAGGACATGTAGAGCCAATTGGTAATTTAGGGCAGAAGATATTGGCAGTGTCCAAACATTGATCATTGTGTACTTAAGAATTCTGAAATCGTACTTCATCCATCAATTTGTATCCAGTCTTATAAAACCCAATTCGGGGCTCAGGAGATGGCATTTTAACTCTTCAAGGATGTAAAATGCTTCAATCTCAACATCCAGTGCTGAGATCAAAATACTCTTTTCACACTCCATATGCATCAGGTAAAATATCATTTAGGTCTTGTCTAGATTCAGAAAAAAAAATATTCAAACATGTTAGCTATTGTTTTAAAATAACACCTTTTTTCTTATGTAGGAAAGGATTTAAGTATAATCCTTCAGTTAGACTTAGAATGTTTTCCTACAAGGGCCTCCTGATCCTGTATTTGACTCTACACAGGCAGACAACTGCCTCTATGTTCAGCTCCATTGAATGCAGTAGAGCTCCATATAGATTCAGGGGTCCATCTGTGCTTAAAAGTTTGATAATCCAAAATTATTGTGGATCGACAAGCCTGAAATCTAGGTGCATTTATGCCTATAATATTGTTGGCATTGCTCAACCTAAACTTCTGAACCGTGTTTCCTCTAAGCTGAGTGCTTTCACGGTCATGCACTGAAATGTTTAGGTCTGCCCACATCATTTTAAGAGCCGCTCCAGCAGCACTAACCGCTCACCTTCCTGCTGGAATGGAAGGTGAATGGCGGCGGCCAGTGGCCTGGTGTGTTCCTAGTGACAGACATCTGCCCTTTTGCTCAGACTGGAGCCAGGGCACGTGAGACGAGGCTGTTCCAGTGAGGCTGCCCCAGCTGGAATGGGTCCTGTGTGGCTGCCGCTTTACTCCAACAGGAGTTGGGGCTACCCGCAGTGTCATTTTTAGTACTGTGGTCCCACAGGGCCTGGGACTGCGGTACTAAAAATAGTACCGCGGGCGGCCTCTGCTCCAGTCCCAGCATGCAGTCTTACCCCAGGAGCAGCTGGGGCTGTGGGGTTTCTGGGGCCAGGATCACGGTACTAAAAATAGCACTGCAGCCTCTGCAAACTGCTTTCCACATCAAAGATAGAAAGTTAGGGAGGGGGAGAGGGAGAATTAAGGGGAAGTGGGATGAAGAGAGGAAGGTGCTTGTGCTGAGGAAAGAGAATGGGTCCAGAGAAGGAGAAGAAAAGGGAAAGCACCACGGGGCAGAATGGAGGAGAGACAAATGCCTGGGGGTCAAGAGGAGACAATGAGAAAAAGGGCAGGAGGAGGGATGGAAGAGAAGATTTCAGTGAGGGTGGCAGAAGGGAAGGGACAGGGTGATGCTGGGAGAGGGGAGGGACAGTGGGGGCAAGAATAAGGAAGAAGAGAAGGAAGGAGTGGGTGCCAGGAGAAGAGGGATTGAAAGGAGGGGTGTGCATGAGGAAAGCAGAGGATGAGCAAGTCATGAGTGAGGGCACAGAGGGGCATGAGGAGAACTGGGGCAGAGGGTGGTGAGAGGGTGGAGGGAAGGGGGAGGCACCAGGAAGGTGCAGGGGTAAGGCAAGGTGCAGGTGCCAGGGGAATTATGAGGATGAAGGAAAAGGGCAGACACATGGAAGGGAGGGACAAAAACCAGAGGGCAGAGGAGAGAGGCAGAGGAGGTGTTAGGGGGAGGAGATGGGGAGGTGTAGCTACAGATAATCACAGTGGGGCTAGAGGAGGGGTATGGGGGAAGAGAAGGGGTGGGTGCAGGGGTTAAGGGAAGATGGGGAGGGGGACAGGTCCCGAAAGGGCTGAGGGGACAAGGGCAGGAGCCAGGACAGCAGGGGCAGTAGCAAGCACCAGGGGAGCAGATGGGGTGAGGGGAAGGTGGGAGACATGGCAGCAGAGGAGAAAAGAAAGAGGTTTATAAGATGATAATAGGTTTATTAATAACTTGGGTGCCACAGTGGCTTGCATCCTGATAAGTGCACATGAACTATACTGGTGCACAAGACAAAACTCACTCTGCTCATGGATGGAAAATCTTAGAGGGAACACTGCCTTTGAACGCTGCAAAAGTTGTAGCAATATTTGATGAAGGCTTGCTCCTGTTTGTCACTACATGTCAGGTCATTTTAAACAAGTGTTTACATGTGCATTGGTGTATGTGTGTTTACATGGGCATATTCAAATACATTAAGCTTACACATGCACCAGGGGCAGCTTATGACTTGAGTGATACGTTACTTCATATCAAAGTCAGTTGGCCTACACTTGGTATAAGATACTGTTCTTCATAAGTAAAAGTATCACAGTGTGTGGCCCACAGTGATTTACTGATTATTTTAAAGCTACTTTTTTGCCTGTTGAAAATTTGTTTCCATAGAAACAGGGGAAACATCTTGCAGTCTTTGTTACAATACTTGTAACTTTCAGTAGTTCCAGTTAAGCCCTACCAGTTAAGTTTTAATAACACATAGCCTTTCGTTTATTGTAGAATCCATACACCTATTTTTTCCCATTGTATACAGTTCTGCTATAAAAATAGTGAATACTGCTGAAATATTTGATAAATTCTTATAAATTTCCGGAATTACCACTATAGGCCCTGCAAAGTGTCTCTTTATGATCTTATATAAAACTAAAGAGCTCTATAAAAGCAGCAGAAAACGAATATTTCTTATCTGTCACAGTCTTGGTACACAATGCCATCATTTCAGAAGTGTAGTGACGTCATGCCTTTTATCCTCCATGGGAGGAATAAACTCCTGCAATTACTTTAAAAACATTAAAAGCTTTAATTTACTTTTTAAAAGCTGTAAAACAAGGTTTCTAAATGTAGTAAAGATATTTCCTTCTTCAAATGGAAGGAGGACATCTAGTGTGTAGAATTTTGCTCAAGACACTAAATTCTTGCAGTATTTTTCTAGAAAAATGGCCAAAGTTATCAGCCAACAAAAATGCACACAGATGCAATATAAACCTAGCTAATCTAATATCAAGGTAACAGAAACTTGGTTATATTGGTACAAAGCCAAGATAGGAATACATGTGCCTCACAAACTCCCTATTACAGGCATGGCCAGAACCAGAGGGTATGACTGCTGAAAAGGAGATGTGTCTGGGACATTTCCTACACAACAATTATCACACATTTTTCATGTAATTAATAGCCAACAAAAAAGTCCTTGCTTTTGTCTCTGGAAGGAAGAAAACTGAAAGAACACTGATACTGAACTTAAACTATTTAGTGCTAAGTGAAAATACAAGTAGTGATATTCTCTTTACTAACATTCACATATGGAATCTGATATTTTCCTCAGTATTTGCAAACTAATAATAATGAAATAATTCTTCTGTTGCTGTCCAAAATTATTAATTTGCCTCAGGTAGAAATCTCCCATTTCCATAGCATATTTTTTCTCCATGTCAGCAAAGGCAGTTTTTCGCAGAGTTCTGATTTTTAACTTAAACCTTACCTTCCGAAGAAAAATATTGTTGAAAAATAAAGATAATTGCTTACACAATGTTTTTTCAACGTGGTGACAGGATTTCACTATTCTTCTATTCACATGAACAATGTTTCCTATTTTATACTCTTTCAAAATTATGTGATTTCAAGTCTATGTACTAAAAAGATAGTTATGCTTAAAAGTTTTACTATACATATGAATAAGATCAAAACAAAGAACATTACAATACATTTATTAAGATTATTGACTATGTTAGTTTAATTGAAATGGTAGATTACAAACTTTACCTTGTCATGGGATGGGCAGGAATGGGTTCCACGGATTTACAGATCTTTTGGATCTGGATAGTATGGATTATTTTCACTGCATATTCATCAGTTTAAGGGGCTTTTGGCTTACATTGATGTAAGGGGCAGAAGTTGATTTTATGAACCCCGTGGTATTATTCAAGTGAATAATAGTGAATCAGGAGAAGAGATTGGAAAAGAGACTCTGTTCCAATTTCTGTACCCTATTTTCCTGTCGAGATAGATTGTAAGACTTTAAAGAAGAGAAAACACTTTGACAATTTCTGTTTTATCAGCTTTCGTTTTTTTAATTCTTATCCTTTCATAAAGGGGGAACTCCAAATATCATTACTATGGGATTCGTGTCAAGCCAGATTCTCCTCTTAATCGGCTACAAGAGGACATGCAATATATGGCTATGAGACAACAACCCATGCAGCAGAAACAGAGGTACAGTGTGGATGATGTAACTATATTAAATGAACACTTTTTCATATTTTGAAGCCTGGGAGGATTGCTTCAGTGCAGAACTGTCCAGAGGGGATGATCGCTCCAGGTGGGACAGGGCAATCAATCCCAAAAGTGACATATTTGTCACTTCTGCCCAGAGCTTCTCATCTCCCTCTAGGAGCCACTCTGCTTCAATGTAATGCCACACTTCTCTATCAGCATTGTTGGAAATTACTTGTCTATATGAAATAGTTAATAAATCTTTCTTGTATGCATACATTTTTCTGTACAAGGAAAAGAAGTTAAAAGAATGAAGGATGCTTACATATGTGGGTTTTTTTAATATTAGACTGATTTCCTTTTTGACCCATTAAATAGATACGGAGTCTGAAGGATAGCTGTTAGTCTGTAACTTTAAAAATAAGCAGTCCTGTGGCACCTTGGAGACTAACAAAAATGTATACAGCCGGTCCCCGAGTTGCGAACGGTCGACCTACCACTGTTCTCAGTTATGACCAGAGCTGTCATAAATGGCAGACCCCGAGTTATGAACGCAATCCACGCTTACGAACAGTGTAGTCGCGTGTAACACAATGAGGTCCAACTTACGAACGAACCGAGTTACGACCAATTGCTCGGTCCGTAACCGGTTCGTAAGTCGGAGAGAGGCTGTAGTATCATGAGCTTTCATGGTTAAAACCCACTTCATCATTTGAGTTGAAGTGGAAATAAGACACCAAGATGTATGTAACATCAGAAGTAGTACCTATCAATTGTAGGACCCATGTTAATGAAGCTAATTAGTGGTCTGGATGTGTCCCATTCACAGCTTTTGATGTGAACATGTGGATGTTAAAGGCAGGGGAAACTGGCTTTGTAATGCGTTAACCAGTTAATGTCTTTGTTCAAGCCCAGGGTAAATGTCAATTTTGTAGATGAATTTCAGTTCTGCAGTCTCTCTCTGTAATTGGGTAGTTAAATTCCTTTGTAGAAGAGTGGATAGTTTTAAATCCATGATTGTGTGACCAGACAGATTAAAATGTTCCCCTACATGTTTTTGTGTGTTATCATTTCTGATGTCTGTTTTGCGTCTGTTTATCCTTTGTTGTAGAGACTGTCCTGTTTCGCCAGTATACATGGGGGAGGGGCATTTGATGGCATATATCATATTAGAAGATGTGCAGTTATGTGAGCCTCTGATGTTATGTGGTTAGGCCCTGTGGAGATGTCACTTGTATAGATGCGTGGACAGAGTTGGCAATGGGTTTGTTGCAGAGGTAGGTTCCTGAGGTTTGTTGCAGGGGTAGGTATCTGAGGTGTAATGTTTGGCTGCTGAAAATGATTTGCTTTTAGGTGGGGGGTGGGGTGGCTGTCTATAGGTGAGAATTGGCCTGTCTCACAAGGCCTGTAAGAGTGAGGGATTGTTTTCCAGAATATGTTGTAGATTGTCAGTGATGTGCTGGAGGAGTTTAAGCTGGGGGCTGTAGGTGTGTGTTATTTTCCTTTTGGGGCCTGTCTTGAAGTAGTTGACCTCTGGGTACTTGTCTGGCTGTGTCTGGCTGCTCCCTTTCTCCCCCATGCTGCTGCCATTCATACAGAGGCGGGAGGCAGCTTTAAAGTGTACCAGATCCCACCGAGCTGGCTGCCCCCTCCCACCGCTGCACAGGGGGCGGGGGTCAGGCGGGATCCAATGTGTACAGGAAGCTGGCTTTTAAGTTGGATCCCCATGCATGCTGGCTTCCATGGAACCGCCTGTCCTCTCTCTCCCGCGGTTGCTGCCTCCCACAGAAGCAGTGGCATGTGGGCTGGGACGGGGCATGCAGGAGCCAATGCATATGGAGAGCCAGCTTTCCCCCACATATAGGCTCCCTCTGAGCCGACTGCAACCCCTGCCTCTCATACAGAGGGAGCAGGAGCGGGGAAACGAGAGTCCTGTGCTCATGGGGAGCCAGCTTAAAAGCCGGGTCCCCACGAGCTCTGGCTCTGCCTCCTCTCCCCCTGTGTGTTACCACGTATCTGCTAAAAATTTCAGCAGATACACGTTTGCACAAATAAATGCATTTTAACATCTCTATTCTGGATGGAAACTAGAGGCATGTCGGTAAGAGTAATGGTCAATAGGTTTCCAGTATGAAGTGTTTGTGACCATTATTTATTTCTATTATAGTGTCCAGAAAGTGGATCTCTTGTGTGGCTTGGTCCAGGCTAAGGTTGATAGTGGGGTGGAAATGTTGAAATCCCTGAGGAATTCTTCAAGGGTCTCCTTCCCATGGCTTCATATGATGAAGATGTCATCAATGTAATTAAATGATGTTCAAGGTCAGCCATAAAAATGTTGGCATACTGTGGGGCCATGCAGGTATCCATAGCAGTACCACTGACTTAAAGGCATAAATTGACCCCACATTGGACAAAGTCGCATAGTTCAGCCACCAGGTATGCTGTGATATCATTGGGGATCATGTTCCTGACATCTTGTAGTCCATCCTTGTGTGGAAAGTTGGTGTAAAGAGCTTCTACACCCATGGTGGCCAGGACGGCGCTTTTGTGAAGATTACTGATGCTCTGTAGTTTCCTTAGGTACTCATTGGTGCTTGAAGATAACTAGAAGTGCTAGTTGCGTAGGCACTGAGGAGAGAGTTAACATAGCAGATAATCATGTTGTAAGGGTGCCAATGCCAGAGATGATGGGAAGTACCAGATTTCCAGGTTTATGGACCTTTGGTAGCAGATAGAATACTCCTGGTCAGGGATTAGCTGGACCAGAGTCCCAGTTTAGGGAGCTACAGTCCATAGTTAAAAGCAGCATTCTCTCTAAGCTGAGCACTTGGGCGGCTAGCCAGGTGAGAATCAAATGCCGCCCAGCTGATTAGCAGAGAGCCCACAGCCAGCAGCCTGTGTTTGTACTAGGAACAGAAGAGTTTAACCGGTTAACCAATAACCAGATGTTTATCAGTTACCATTAATGGTTAAACTCTGCAAGGGGCTGCTGGCAGCTTCATGGGACCACAGGGCTAGCAGCACCACAGCTGGGAGCTGGCAGCCCTGGGAGCAGTTAAAAATTCTAATGGTTACACAGTTAATATTTTTTAAAAAAAAATTTTCCACTCGTCGTTTCTGCCGGTGATACACATCTGCACACACCTTGGTGCATGTGACCAAATTTATTCTGCACATGGATGGATCACATTTGAGGCAATGCTGGTTGAAAAAAATAGTAAACAAAAGATTAGGAATAAATGGGCAGTTTTCAGAATGGAGAGAAGTAAATGGGGAGAAGTGTCCCCCGGAGGTCTGTTCTGGGACCAGTCCCATTCATAAATAATCTAGGGAAAGGGGTAAACAGTGAGGTGGCAGAATTGACAGATGATACAAAACGGCTTAAGATGGTTAAGTTCCAAGCAGACTGTGAAGAGTTACAAAAGAATCTCTCAAAACTGGGTGAGTGGGCAAAAAAATGGCAGGTGAAATTTCATGTTGATAAATGCAAAGTAATGCATATTGGAAAACATGATCCCAACTATACATATAAAACATAAAATAAAATAAATTAGCCATAACCGCTCAAGAAGGAGATCTTGGAGTCATTGTGGATATTTCTCTGGGAACATTCACTCAGGATTCAGAAAAGGGCAACAGAAATGATTAGTGGTATGGAACAGCTGCCATATGAGGAGAAATTCAGACTGGGACTTTTCAGCTTGGAAAAGAGACAACTAAGGGGGGGAAATGATTGAAGTCTATAAAATCACGGCTGAGGCAGAGAAAGTAAATAAGGAAGTGCTGTTTACTCCTTCTCATAACACACACACTAAGGGTCACCAAATGAAACTAATAGGCATCAGGTTTAAAACAAAAGGAACCCGTGGAACTCTTTGCCAAAGGATGCTACATAGGCCAAGACTGTAACGGTTAAAAAAAGAACTAGCTAGCTTCCTGGAAGACAGATCCATCAACGGCCATTAGCCAGGGTGGGTAGGGAAGGTGTCCCTGGCCTGTCTTTTCCAGAAGCTGAGACTGAGTGACAGGAAATGGGTCAATTGATTACCTATTCTGTTGTTTTTCCTCTCGGGCACCTGGCACTGGCCACTGTTGGAAGATTGAGTACTAGGTTAATTGATCTTTGGTCTGACCCAGTAAAGCCATTCTTACGTTCTGAGAGAGAAATCATATTGCTATAAGCAAAATAGATATATGGGTGTGTTGACCAAGCACTAGACAAGACACACAGAGGATGGGGGAAGAAACAGAGGGTTAGAGCCATTACATTGAGTTGCCTCAAGTCACAACAATTTATTGGCAGGTCTCGGAACTCAAGTTCAGAGCCTGAGGCTGGAGATCACACTGCAGTGTGAGGTGGAACTTTGTGTTTGTCATATTAAAGTAGAGACGGACTTTTGTCGTTGATTTTGCCGATCACGTTTGTTGGTACTTGAAATTCTAGTTTAGAACTGTGGCCAAAACAAAAGTTTGTTTGTTTGTGTTTGTTTTTGTTTTTTTTTAACTTTTGTTTTCAACTTGGGTTTTACTAAATGCGGTGGTGTGTGTTGTTTCTGAGGCTGCCTGGGGTAGGCATGGCGTGCTCCCAGGGGAAGCCAGCCCCATCCTTGCTCCTTTGGCCCAAGCCCACACTCCTTCCCTCACCGTACTCAGAGGCTGGGCAAGGCTGTCAGCCCCACTGCAAGTAGATAGAATCCGCTTCCTCTATAAACCTCTCTATGGGTCAGGAGCCAAACCTGCAGCTTTTTATTCACCTAGCTAATTCCTCTGAAGTGAATAAGGGGTGCATGATTTAATCCTCCAAGTGTTGCAGTAATAGGAATGATTCTGTACTCACCTCCCCTCCTCCCCCCCATGAAACAATCTTTATTTGTAAAATCTCAGCACATTTTTGCATGCTATGAGACAACAACCCATGCAGCAGAAACAGAGGTACAGTGTGGATGATGTAACTATATTAAATGAACACTTTTTCATATTTTGAAGCCTGGGAGGATTGC